CGTGCTGCAAGCAGGGAGGATTCCTCCTCCCTCCCTGGTCTGGCAGCAGGCATCCCGCAATAGGACCATGGAATAGTTCAGGCTGGGAGGACCTTCAAAGCTCATCCAGTTCCAAGCTCCTGCAATGAGCAGGGACATCTTCCACTAGAGCAGATCCAAGGAGCTCAGTGCTGCTTGACTCCAGCTGACCTGTCTGGACCTTTCTCTGCTCTGCCCTGTGCTGTTTTCTTCTGCCTTTTGCTTATCTGTGTGATCTTCCACCCACTGCACCCAAAATACCAGCTTCACCCTACACTTGCTCTGGGAGTGTGAAGCAACAGATAAATGTTTGGATGTTCTCTCTCATTTAGACAGAAGAAACAAGTTCAGCTTTGACCATGCATGTTACATTTTAATTTATCTCATGCCAAGAAATACAAAGAAAGAGTATAGGATATACCACATCATCCTGCAGGGAAAGAAACACCCATCAGCAAAGAGAAGCACCCAGCTGCGGTTCCTGGTGTGTTCATGCTGTGTGTGGAACTGGGCTCTTCCAGTTTGGCTTCGAAACAGGAGGAGCTGGTGCATGGACGGTGGTTGTGGCAGTGGAGGGATAGACCCTGCGCTTCCATGCAAAGGATCGTGTCCTGGGCACCATCTAACAAGTGGCATCGGGGTTGCCTTGGTGAATCCTGCACACGTTCCCTTTCTGATGTTTCTTATCCCAGATGGGTATTTATAGGTTTGAATTTTGCTACCTACTGGTGTCAGCGAATGCTTTACAAACATCCCCCCTCTGAAGAGGCTGCTTTTCCCCAGCACCCCCTTGGCTTGTGCCCAAGCTCGGGAGTTTTCAGTTCAAACCGAGCAGTCTTTGCCTAAATTAAAGGGTTTATATCAAAAGAAGAACGACCTTAAATCTGTGACTGTTTCAGCTTCACTGCGCAGCCCTGGCCGTGGTCCTGTGACAAGGGACAAAGTGATGGGGTGAGGCTGGGCGCACTGGGGATACAAAAGGAATAAGCCATGGGAGCAGCCCAGCGGGTGCATTGCTGCAGCCTCCCCCTGGGGTCTGAAAGGAAACAGGGGTTTAATTTTATATAAAAGGCAGGATCTGCTCCCCTTGTCTACATGGAGAAGTCTGTGCTTGGAAGGGCAGCTACTGCAGCGGAATGTGCTGGAGTGCGGGGCAGAGCCTTGCAGGAGCAGTTTCCCTCCTCCTGGATAACCCCTGTCAGTGAAGCCCAGCAGTGACACCTCATTGCCAACCAGACCCATCCTGGAGTGAGGAAAAGGCAGAGGATGGGAGAGAAGAGCCTGCGAGGCTCATGCATTGCCCTAGGGGGGAAGTACGTTAAGTATAAATAGGTGGTAAATGGGAATGGAGTGAAAAACCCACCAGAAATATCAAACCCTCATTAGCAAGCAAAGTCTGAAATCAAATCTTTCATTGCTTTCTCTCCTCCCTTTTGCCTCCTCTGTCAGCACCCATCACCGTGTTGCTGTGACCGACTGATTCCTGCTAGACCTTTCCTGACCATCGGTCACTGCATCCATAAGAAGCTGGTATGAAACCAAGCTACCTTGTCTGTCTGCCACCTAGCACTGCTGTACTGTGTCACCCTGCAGAGCCCAGCTCTCCCAAACCCTTGGCAGAGGACACCAGCGATAGAGAGGTGCCACCAGCCACGTGCTCTGCTCAGAGACTCCTTCCCAAGCCATGCAAACTGTGTATTTATATCCCACCGGGACCTCACACTTGTCGATCGTAACTCCTACTTCAGCTTACATTTAGAGACGTTTCCCACCTTCTCCAGCTCTTCATGGAGCTATCCTCCTACCAGCTCCACCGCAGGTAAGGCTGGAATGCCATTGCATCGCTTGCATCTCTCACCTCTCTGTCACTAGGGGATAGAGATTGGCCAGACCCGGAGGATTTCATGACTGGTTTAGTCGCAGCCCTGGAAACCTCCATTCTGACGTGTGTGTGTGTGTGTGCAGAGAGGAGGCTGCAGCAGGCAGCAAAGAGCTGTCACAAGTACCAGGGCTTGTTTGTGGGGATGGAGAGGGAAAGTCTCTCCAAGACATAGCTGTGATCGCCCTCCTGCATACTAAAAGCACAGTTAAGGAGTGGAGTGGTTGTGCCTGGATGTGGCAGAATCACGAGGGATGCTGTTGCTCCCCATAGACCAAAAGAGGACCCCTGCCTGCTGCTGTCCCCAGTTTGAAGTGCTGTGATTTACCTCTCATTACACAATAGTAAGTGAGCTGGGTGTCAAGGGTTGGGGGCTCAGCAACTTTTTCTTCATGAATGCAAGCTGATGCACCTAAAAAAAGAGCCAAAGAGGCAGCTGGGTTAGGATAAAACAGTGGGATGTGGAGAGCAAGGATCTAGTGGCAAAATACCAGGCTGCAAAATGTATGGGGGAGAACAGGGAGAGGAGACTTCCCAGATAATCCTGGGGAAGTTGTTTCTCCAGCTCTGGAAAGCCAGGATGTGTTGTGTCAGGAGTAGCGTAGAGGCTTTGCCCTGGATTTGAATGCAGGGCAGGAACACAAAGCTGCACCCAAGAGGGCAGGATCACTGTATCTAATCAGAAAGAAGCTTTTAAAGTGAAAGGCATTTAAATGTCTCTTTTTATTCCTATTTTATTATAGCTAATAGCGAGGTGAGAAGCAGTCAGCTCAGCAGCCCCATGATCCAGGTGAAGACAGGAGGCACAAACCACATTGGGTACAATCACCAATTGGGATCATCACCATGGGGTCTTTTGGGAAAGCTTCTGCCTTCTCCTGCATTCAGATGAACTCTGTGCTTCCCCAGCCTGGGACTTCTGGCAAGTACCATTGCAGCTGCCTCGCAAAGCCCCTTGTATCTTACACCTGGAGGTACCCCAATGCGTTCTGAAGTTTGCTGTGTGTTTGCAGAGATCCTCGTGGAAAACCCCAGTGTGAAGGAAATCTGTATTCACACGTGGTTTTAATGAGGAGGAAACAGAAACACACGTTTCTTTATGGAGCTCGTGTGACTGAGCAACTTCTCCATCGGTGCAATTAGAGCAGTGCAATGCTAACCCACCTCGTGGGGGGTGGCAGGGTTTAATCCTTTAAATGGGGGAAAGCTCTTTAGATGAAAGGCTTTATATAATGATAAAAGAGCATTTAAATTCTTCCTTAATAAATGTTGGGTGCTCTCAAGTACTATAACTCATTGTGGCAGCTTCCCCTGAATGTCAGCTCTTCCTGCCCAAGGAGGAGCTTGCTCAGCTCTTACCATAAGCTGAATTTTGGCAGCCCAAAGGGTAGAAGATGCACAGACAGGCAGCGCTGCCCTTATAGATCTAGGGGGAAATAATGTGTGCTTCCCAGCAAGCAGCTTTTGGATTCGAGTGTTAAAGAAGGGAATGTTTGGGGGGTTTGATGGGATTTCATCAACCATAAGGGGAGATGCTGAGTCTCTAAGGAGGGTTTCTGAAGAGGTCTGGTGCCAAGGGGCACCCTGGCAGGGCTGTGAGTGGAAGCTCGCACCCAGCAGTGCTCAGGGCCCCTGGTTGCTGAAGATCACAAAAAATGAGCTGCAAAAGAAAGGTTGAGAATTTGGCCCATTTTAGAAGCTGATGGTTTGTAATAGAGCACTGGCAAAGGGGCAGATGGGTATGGAGCCCCAGGAAAAGTGCTGTAGGGATGTGCTATTGCTGTGAATCCCATTTAACACCGGGAAGAATGGTAACAGCGTGTCTAGGGGACGTGGCTTTCTGCAGTAACTACCATGCAGAGCCATGGGCGTTCTTGTCACCTGTTTGGTTGCTCCTCTTTAAAGTGTTTCCTTTCCCTGGGCTTTACTTGAGCTCAGGGGTAACTACAGCATGGATTTACAGTGCACCCCACACGTGCACTCGCATAGTCCAGAGAAGCTAGTGCCAAGTAGTTACCATGTGTGGAGTTCCTTATGGTGTGCAGTAGATTCTCCATGTAGACAAGCCCTCGGAAACCTTCAATTTGGTCTAAGGTTTGGGTTGTTTGGGTTTTTTCTCCCCAGGACACTGATGGTTGGGAGCAGAAGTGCCTTGAAGCACCTTATACCTTGGTGCAGTCCATATTTCTTGGTGCCGGGTTGCCAGCTAGAGCCAACAGAAGGGCCAGGGAGTGCAGCTCTTGTGCCCGCAAAGTTCAGATAGAAGAGAAGCTCAGCTAATGCAGAGCCCATGGATATGGTCAGAAATCACCTACAAAGCCTGAATAAATCACAGGCAATAAAACTTTGCATAGTCCAGGTGGTCAGGTAGAGACCAACCTCAGTAACAACCCACAGCACAGACAGGGCGAGGGGGAAGAAGAAGGGATGGGGCTGAATGGAGGCTCGAGGGAGCATGTTGGGATCGGATCCCATTGGAAAAAGCATGGTGTGGAAGACATGGCAGAGTGCACAGTACCTACAGGCAGATTAGGAGGAGCAAAGTCTGTTTTCTTGTTATGTTAAATATAAAACATTAAAAAATAACACTACTTGTGGAACTGACCCCAGCCAGCTCCGGGGATGCTGGAGACTTCCAGAGGTGCAGAAGAGCATATTAGAGATGGAAGGACAGGAGCAGGGCTTTAAAACTCCTCTTTGCCTCTGAAAATCTCCTGGAAAGCCCTAAACTGAAGCCCAAAAGGGTTGGAAAGTGAGGGCTGGATCATGCTGAAGCTTCTGTGTGATGGACATGATGTGACATAAATATGTAAGTGGGTAGAACGGGCTCTCCGTGCCATGACACTGCTGCTACAGATAAACCAGGCTCTTTTCTCAGCGCCATGAGTATTAACCTCACTTTGGGTGCACAGAGAGGGAAATGGGTGGGTTCACAGAGAAAGCATTATTTTTCATTCCATTAAAAACCCCACCGCTGGGTCAGGGTGAGGAGGAGCCTGGGGTTCTCATGCAGCAACATCCTGCTCTGCCAGCTCTGAGATCGGCCCTAAGCGATAAAAGAGCTCGTAGGAACAGACATGGAGAACATTCCCAAAGGCATGCAAATGGTCATTGTCTCTTTTTTGTTTGGTTTGTTTTTTTCATCAAAAATACAAAAGCACCCACCACATCCTCCAGCTTTTGCTGCAGTTCCGTGCGGAGCAGAGCCGTGGTCCTGCTGCAGCTCTGCTCTTCCCTCCTCCTCCATGGAGCAGCTCTCAGCTCCCAATGGCAGTTTGAGCTTTGGGTTTGTTCTTTTTTATTGTAGAGACAGAATCTGATGATTTAAAAACCAACAGCTCCCCATGGATTCAGTGACTTGTGCCAAAATCCTCAGGAGGATTCCTCAGAATGTCCTGTTCTCGCCTTTTAAATGAAGCTTCCTTCTTGGAACTCCTTTCTCTCGTGCTTTAGTTGTCTCCCCACTCCGTGAGTTTTGCTGGAGGGGAATGAGGTAGTGGATTTCCCCCTTCTCCTCTCTGCGTGGCATCCCATGTCCTTTCCCATTCCTTCCGGCGATGTTTGTTATCCCATCACTTGTACAAACTCATGTCCAAGGGGCGATGAAGTAGAAGCATGCGTTCCTTCCGACGGCGCTCCAGAGCAGGCTGTCCAGGGCTGCCCACCTACACTGTGACAATTTTTTGTTGCAAGGCTGAAAGTAAAACCCCCAAAAGGAAAGTTGTCTTCCTCCTCTTCGAGGCATTTGCATGCTTTAGACATCTTCTAGGAAACTGCAAAATAAAGAGAGTCTTAGGGCACCTTCCAGTAGTCACTGGCGCTTCCCTTACGCACTTGGGTTGGGCTTTGTTCTGAGGTTCCTGTTTGCCTGTGCTGCATGCTGGTCATGATGGTTTGGCAAATGGATTTGCGTCTGGGAGGCTCCTCAAACATTTGAGGGTTGGGTTGCTGGGTGGGTTGATTTGTGTGCTGAAACCCTTCAGTTTTTACCCCACTATACCCTTGTAAACCCATGACAGGCTTTCCCAGGGCAAGATGTGTCACCAGGGGGACCTTGTATGGTCACCATCGTGCAATGGGAAGACTTTCTGTTCTGGTCCTGTGAATAGGGTGTGTTGCTACTGCAAGAGCCCTGTTCTCCAAGGTGTTCTGCATGTGTGTGTGCAGTTCATGATGGTCATGATTAGTGCGCTACCACCGCAGTTGGGCTGAGAATTGAGCACCACCTGCCTTGGGCTGGTGGTTGGTGATGGTGGGCACTGGTGTGGGTTATAGACTAGTGAGGGTCCTGCTCTAGCTGGGGTGGGGAAAAGAGAAGGAGCTGTTACCTCTGACGCTGAGTGAAATGTAGAGCACGATGATGACGGTCCCCAGGACGATGGAGACGATGCTGAGCAGCCTGGCCATGCGCCCGAGTCGCCGTGCTCCATCCAGGTCCCCTTGCTGCCCGCTGTTCCTCGACTGCGGAAACACAAAGAAAGGCTCTTAAGGGTAGCCTTGGCTGTAGTCCCCACAGTGTGAGGTGACGTGATTCCCCCTGCGAGCCCATGGCTTTGACAGCCCATGGTCTTGCTGAACTTACATGGCTTGGAGAAGCCCCACCTTGAGATGCTGTTCTGCTTGTCCTGGATAGGAGCTGGGCTGGCTTGAGTCTGTCTTTTGGTAGGGTGACTAAGAGCGAACCCCAGCATGGGACAGGAGGAACAGCACCGCCCCAGCCCCTTTCTCTTCCATAGAAAACCCTGGAATTATTGAGTTCCGTTCCCAGAGCAGCTCAACTCTATGGGACTGCATCCCCCAGGGGCACCACTGCCTTTCTGTGCAGGGAAAGCATCCTGCCACCATCATCTGCAAATCCATAATTGAGAAGCAATGTATATTCCAAGTTTAACAACCACTTGACAAGCTGCAAAAGCAAAAGCAGTGACATTTCCTAAGCAGCATGTGGCCTCTTTGCTGGCCACTGAACTGAAGGTGTGTGTGAGAGGAAGGGGCTTTCATAAAGTGGACACTAACTGCTGGCTTTCATCTTGTGATGGGATGTGTTTTGGTGCCTCTGGTTACCCCGGATTCCTGCATCAGCATAGATGGGTTGTGTTCACCAGCTCTGTTACTAAATGCAGTCCTCCTACAGTGAGCTCCTGCTCTTATGTGTGCTGTAGGGAGGGAAGGAATAGGCCATGAAGCTTCTCTATTCTGCTTCTAGTTCCATTGTGATTTCCCCTGCTGCTCTTCAGTTCCATTGTGATTTCCCTGCCTGATTTCTTCAGGCAGCTCAGTAAAAGCTTTCCTAACTAAAATAAATGGCTCCCTGGCTGTGGCAGAAATGAGGAATTGGATGGGGAAAGCACTGGAGGGTGCCTGGAAATTATTGTGTGTAGATTCATTAAAGGATTAAGAGAGATCCCCAACAGTTGGAGCTAAAACAGGACTTGCCTGGTGCTGATGTTGGTGGGCACTGGTGTTGTAGCCAGCCCTCAGTGGGATAAATTGCAGCAGTGGCAACCCAGGGTGGATGGAACACACAGCTTGGAAACTGCTTTTCACTGCTCCATCAGGGCTGGCCACCCATGGGCTTGGCAGAGATCTAGACTCTGGGGGCAGCTCCAGAGAGGTTAGTGAAGCAGTACTGCCCTAGGGAATGGATGGGTTGAGCAGATCTGGGCTCATACCCAAAGGGAAAAGACTTAGATTGGATTGAGCATGGCCTCACCCAAACCTTGCCTGGTGCCTGATGATGCAGAGAGGGTGATGCTGTGGCCTGACTCCTTCATGCTTTGATGCCAGCTCTTTATTGCCCTGTGTTCAGCAGTGCTGCTGACCTGGAGAAGCCTCCACCTATGCCAACCACACACAGCAGCCTGAAGACAGAGCAGAGCTCACCAGATGAAGCACAATACACAGCTGCATGGTAAACTTTCAGGGTAAGTGATTAAATAAGGACTGATCTTGCTTCTTGCACTTGTAATTGGCAATCACTTGGTTCGTAAGTGAAAAATACTGGAAGTAAGAATTCCTTGTGAGGAAACAGCATCACTGCTGAGAGAGGAGCCCGCAGTGCTCCTTGTGTTGCTTGGAGCGAGCATGCTGGGGCTTCCTGCACTTGGCTAAGGGAGGCCCTAGCACTTAGCAGAAGGGCTCTGAGCAGCACCACGGCGAGGTTATTGTGGTGAAATTACTCACCGTGCGTCAGCATTTGCTGTGTGTGGTAGCGAGGCTGGAGCCCCTCCATCAGCAGAACCGGAGCTCCCTGCTCGGGAAGAGGCAGGCGGACTCTGAGCAGCGCGGCTCTCCAGGCAGAGAAGCCTTCCCGAAGTCACAGAGTGCCCTTCTGCCTCCCATGAAATCCATTGGGAAAGGGTTTTGGAGGGAGGGGAATCCGATAAGGGGGTTTAAGGTCTATACAGGCAACGTTTTCCATCTTGATCCAGTGGAGGAGTTGGGCTAAACTCCCCTCGACTTCACTGGGGACAGGCTTTTGTGGATACTTTAACTGCCTCGGAGCAGTTACTCGTTCTTTAGAGCTGGTTTTAAGTATTTAACAGGGTTACATCTTCCCCTGCTCCATCCGCCTCCAACCATGCTGCCTTGGCTGGGCCAGGGATTAGGAAAAGAGGGAGATCAGGAGCAGGCTGCAGGGCTGCCTGCATGTCCCCCATGTACCAGCTCCTCTCTTTGGAGTGCGGCTGCTACAACTGGGGAAACAGCTAAGAAAAGAAATATGCTACCTAAAAAGAGTTAAAGATGGAAGTGTATTGTCCTTGCCCATGGCAGGGGGGGTGGGACTGGATGATCTTGAGGTCCTTTCCAACCCTAACTGTTCTATGATTCTATTAGAACAATCCCACTTTCCTTTCTAAAGAAGTCTGTCTCAGAAGTAACAACTGCACTGGAAATGGTCCCTTCTCAAATGTTTTGAAATGAAATAGGAGGCCCAGCACAGCTCCAGCACTGACTGTGAAACATCACTGAGGATTCAAATGAGCAAATACTTGACGCTATTGCACCATTTCCTCTTCATCTTGCTCCCTTTTGGCAGCACCGTGACCAAATGGTCTCCAGCCCAGGCTGTGTGCTGGCTGCTGCTCCGCAGTGCTCCATAGGTGAAGTGCAGCTTTAAAGGTCTCCATGTTCTCGTTTTAGTTTGTATCACCATGTAAATAACATAGCAGAGCCTCGAAGAGGCAGCTGCTTCCACTGCATCCCTGCAGCCATCCTGCTCCGCTCTCTTGACACCCTCTCTAACACCATCCCCACTGCTGGCACCAAGATAGCTCAAGACTTTGTTCCTTCTGGTCTCAGCAACCCGTTTGACAGACCATACCCAAAACCAGCGGGATGCAGCCAAGAGCCAATTCTCATTACAGAACAGGAGGTGACAAAATGAAGCATCATGGGCTGGTGGTGAGAGCCGGGGAGGACGCGGTACCCAGGGATTGACAGGATCCCTGCCCTGCTCCCTGACAGCTTCCAATGGTTGGGATGCTTTTTTGGGCTTCGGTTTTTTGTAAGATGTGTAATATTTTTACAGGGTGTGGGCTAGATTGCCATGAAATACGCAGCTTCAGCTGTCTTCTAGGGGAAACACATAAGCTAAGGAATTGGATGTATTTATCACTAAAGCCTCTGGAAGTGGTTATTGTTCATTTATCCTGAACGATTCTGAAACATAGATCAGCCCTGGCACGGGCTGTTTAGCAAGCTATTGTTACTGTCCATATATTATTCATTGGGGTGGAACAGTTGGATTTTAGCTCTCTAGTATCACTAATCCTGTGTTTTGCTTTCCACATAAAAACATTAACATCTTGTTTATTAATCGAGACTTGCCAAGGCGGAATATCCCAGAAAGGCTTGAGGGCTATGGGGGAGTGAGGCGCTGTGTGTGTGCCAAGGGACTCCCTGTGGCAGTGCAGCAGCAGAAAATCACTAGGGCACTAGAAGTGGGGCTAGAAGGACAGGCTGCACCACAGCACCCATGGGGCCGGGTAAGGCTGGGCGACTCAAAAGAGCTATTAACCTTAAGTGTGTTCAGACTGTTCCCTGTTCATGCTACTGCTCAGGAGGTTATTTTGCCTGATAGATTGCCTAACTTGCCTTGTTGCAAAAGAATGCAATTACTTTTCCATGCTAGTTACAGGGATGGAGAAGATGGATCGTCACCTCCTCTTCCTCGCAATTGTTTCCAATTTATGAACTGGCTTCAGTTGCACTCTGCTGCCTTCCACCAGTTACTCAGAATAATAACCCTCAACATTGCATTGAAAGAAACATTCTGAGAGAGATATAAATCAACATCAGACCTAGAGGCCTGTGCCATTTAACATGAATTAATGATAATTTGACTTCTCCCACATCTCTGGGGCATGACAGTACTGATTTTGGATATGAAGCACAGTGCAGAATTGCCCTTGGTGTTGCTGTGTGCTGGTTCTGGGTGGATTTACATTAATTTTTTCAGTTCATTTAATTTGTTTGGACTTTTGTACACTGATAAGTGACCGGTCTCTTCTTCCCTGATGTGGCTGCACTTTGGTTGGAAGGGGAAGGGATCTGATAACAGCCCTACAGCATGTGTGGTACCCAGCCCTGCCCTGCACTCCTCCAAGACAAGGTCCCAAGCTGCACTGCCCTTGTGTCCATCAGCCCCACTCTCTGGCTTGGGGAAGGACCCAAACCCCTCAGTGCAGCCAGGTCCTTGCTTGGTCAAGAAAACACATCCAAGTATCAGTGGAGGAGCCTCCAGGTAACTCATTTACACCAGACCAGCATTATCAGGAGCAGGCTGAGGGCCAGAGCTGATTTTCTTTTTCCACCTCTGGCCATAGGCCCTGCTGGGATCTGAGAGCAGCTTTTGAAAACTGATTTATGAGACAACCCAAAAGCACTCATTTGCTTTCCTCTCTTGTTACTGCTCATTACTCAGGAAAAATCAGCTTTCATGTGCAAAAAGCATTGACTTGGGAAAGAAAAACACAATGGCAAAGCTAAAGGAACATCAGCACATTGTGGAAAGTTCCCCCTGCTGCACCAGGCACTGGGAATCATGAAACTGCTCCTGCTCAGATCTGGGGGTTGGTTTTATTCTGTTGGGAGACCTAAGCCTGTGGGAGCCTTGGGAGTCACTGGGAACTACATTTCTCCCCCGTGTAAGCATCAGCTGATGCCCCAAGACCTATTCCTGTTGCCTCTGGTCAATGCTGTTACTTGCTTTGGAAGCAGAAGGCTGCCAAGTGGTCTTAACTGCCTTGTTGGTCCTGCCTGCCTTTGGGTTTAACACAGTAAATACACACCAGTACCTCTCTGTCTAGCTGTATTAACTAACTTCTGCTCTTTCATCACTGTTTATTATTCTACTCCATGGGGTTTATGTGGCCCACAGCACATCCCCACCGCGCTGGAGGCTGTAACGCCTGCAAGAGAGAGTGTGAGAATCTATTTTGCATGAAGGCTAATGTGGTTGGAAAATCCCCGTGAGAGACCTTGTTTATTACCATGGATATGCAATACCCAGCTGCTTTCCCTCTCGTTGCAGTGCAAAGCCAAACAAGGCTGGCTGGCTTCCCCGTATGCTGCCTAAACAGGCTCCACCACACAACTGTACTACGCAGATGACAGCTGGCATTGGCAGAAATGATGATTCCTCCTCAAAATGGAAACTGGTCTCTCTAGAGGGCTTTCTGTGGCGATTGCCAGTGTCTGTCTTCAAGTTGTTGTTGGTGGGTTTGGGGGAAACGCTGGCTGTAGGTACCCTTCAGTGTATTTGGGTGGTAAGCAGGTAATTACTTTCCCTGACACGATTTTCAAATAGATTCGTCTCCATTGTAAATCAGAGGTATAAAAGGTGCCCAGAGGCTGAACAGCAGTGTAAGGGGGTGACTATACTTGCAGGGCTGTGCTGACTGAGCCACCCTCTACTTGAGATGGGCGAGAGGCTGGCTGGCTTTATTCTCGCCTGCTTTGATGTTGGTGTATTTGCTGAGGTGTGGGGGGTATTGAATGGAGAAAATAGCTTCTTCAGGGCACCTACCAGAGCTGCAGGTGCAGCCTGTCGCTTTGAGGTGTCCGAGGAGCCAGCCTCCAGCCAGGGTCTCCCCAGTGCTGCAGGGCTGGGCTCGGCTGCTGGGTGGTGCGGAGGGAGGGAGGGAGGGAGGGAGATCCCTTGTCCTCGCTTCGCCTCGCAGCTCCTGCCCGGGGAAGCCCAGCGAGCCGCTCTGGACCGCTGCCGGGCGGCAGGGACCGCGCTTTCCTGGGTGCGCCCGGATCCCATCCTCAAATCCCCGCCATCCATCTCCATCCCGTCACCTCCCCGGGAGCTGTCCCCGGTTCGGAAGCCGGTCCCCGCCCGCCTCCCTTGGCCAGAGCAATGGAAGCGCCGAGCAGCGGCACTGCGCGGCAGAGCCCCCCGCGGTCCCGGTTGGGCTGCGGGAGGTGCGCGGGCTCCTCTCGCCCCGGTCCCCGCCGCGTCCCGGTCCCCGCCGGTGCAGCACCGCGGACAGCTCCGGCGCAGCCCCAGCCCCGGCCCCGGCCCCGGCCCCGGCCCCGTCGAGGAGGCGGCAGCGGGAGAGGCTCCGGGCGGGTCCCGCACTCACCATGATGGAGAAGACGAGGCCCACGATGTTGATGGGCCAGACGGGGCAGAAGCAGGAGAAGATGGCGAGCACCAGGTAGTCCCGCGGGCGGCTCTGCTCCGGTGCCGCCGTGCTGGTGGCGATGGAGGAGGCTCTGCCCAGGCTGAGCCGGGACGGCGAGAGCGGAGGCGCTTCCAGGTGCCCGACCGACACCGACTTGTAGGAGAGCCCGTGCCCGTTGCGCTCCTGCTCGCCGGGCAGCGCGGCCGTGAAGGATTTGGAGCCGCGGAGGCCCTTTTCCTCCCGACCCTCAGTCGCCGCCAGGAGCTTCTCGGTCTCCTGGAAGCGGGTGGGCAGCGCCGTGCCCGAGCCCGAGCCGGAGCCCGAGCCCGAGCCGCCGGGCGCGGAGCCGCTGCTCGCCATGGCCCGGCGGAGCGGGCTCCGGGAGCGCCCCGCAGCCGCCGCTCTGCGCCCGGGGCCCGCCGCCCCGCGGGAGGCCGTGCCGGAGGAGGGGCCAGCCCGGTTCAGCCCCCGGGGCAGGATTGGGGCCGCGGACCGCCCCCGGGGTGTCCCCGATCCCCCCCGCCCCTGGGCTGCGCTCAGCCTCCGCCCGCCTCGCTGCCCCCGGGGATGCGGTGGGTGGGGAAGCCGGGGTGTCCCCTGTCGCCTCCAACCGAGGCTCTGCCCCGCCCCACCGATCCCCCGCTCTGATCGGGGGCTCCCACGGGCTCGGCTCCTCTGCAGCGGAACGTGAGAGCCCAGCCCTAAGCGGGGCGCAGGGGGATGCCGAGGGCAGCTCCGTGCCGGGTGCCGGTGCACACATCCCTGCGGCCCCTGGGGCTCTACCTGCCGCAAGCCTTTCCTGAGGTGGGTGGGGGACATGCGGCAAAGACCAGAGCCACACACCCGTCATCGCTGCGGAGAGCGCCTGGAGCTGCCCTGTGCCCTTTGCAGGCAGGAGCTGCCCCGGGTGTGACGGTGTCAGGGCAGTCGGTGGGTGCCCGGTGGTACCCCTGGTTCCATTCGCTCTGGGAAAGAAAGCATCTCAGGGCGAGAGGAGGTCCTGGACACTCTGTGAGGAGCTCACCCTGCCCTCGCTTTGTGTGGGTGAGAAAGCGAGAGACACAGCGGCTGCAGACACTGACACCAAATCTGTGTGGTCCTGACCTGCAAAGGAGAAAGGGTGCTGGTGCAGGGGTGGGTTACATCCTGTAAAGCAAATAATAGCATCCTTGGGAGCAGGGGGTGCTGTGAGGGGCAGGATGGAGGTATAAATACCCCACATGGGTGGATGGCTGGCAAAGATGGATGTTTTCCATCCACCCTTTGTGTATTATGCGTCAGTCCCAGATTTGTCAGGAATTTCCCTGGCAGTAAATGCCATCTACGGGGCACACCCAGCACCTTCTGCCTCTGCAAAAGGTGCCTCAAGAGCAGTGGGGTAACCACCAGAGATGGGGGTAAAACACTCAGATGCGAGTTTGGGTGGGGAGCGTGGTTCATTGTGTCGGTTACTGCTGGGTTTCATTTAAACCTTCTTTGAATGATGGTACTGCTGTGCTCTCCCTCCCCACGTGATGGGGGCTGACAGAGCAGGGGTATGCGCTACTCCGGGGGGGAGCCAGAGCAGGGAAAGCCACCTGGGATGCAGGGATGCTGTTGGGAGAAGCAGGATTCCTTCAGAGGACATCGCAGCAGGCCTTCTCTTGGCAACGGGAACATCTGTTGGATACTAAAGCCAAGATGCCTGACACCGTCAGCACTTTAAAGAGGCTCCTTTGCTGAGCAAAGAGCTCTCTCTCCTGGCTGCTGCAAGCTTTCCTCTGCTCAGTGCCCAGCTCCCTTGTCCCGCCTGGGGATTAAGGGAGGAGGAGGAGACCCTGGAGAGGGCCTGGCACAGGGGAGCGGAGGGTTGAGGTGGTTGTTCTCTCTCATATTCCATGGCCGAAATGGCCCCCCACAGGGAAAGAGCGCAGACTGCCCTCAGTGTGTTGGCAGGCAGCGCTGGAGCTCGGCTGGGAGCACTGGGAAGGGAGCAGCAGGGCTGGAGGAGCTCTGTGGGGGCTCAGCACTGCGGGAACGCAAGCAGCGTGATTTGCCCTGCCCAAGAATCTGCCGGCTGTGATGTGTGTGGCTGTAAAACCCAGCCTGATTCCTGCAGCAGTTCCAGTTTGCTGAGCCTCAGGATGAAGGGAGCCTCCTCAGCACCCCGGCCACTCCGAGCTTCCTAAGCCAAAAGGAAGGGGCCTTTTTAGTGAAATTCCGCTCTCTATCAGCCTGTCCCACCAGAGCCACATCACCACAATCAGAGAGAAACTGCAGACAGATGGGTGGGTTTTATGGAAGCCAGCATCTGTCTCCCCTCCCAGCCTCACAAATCTGCCGGGCACATCGGCACCAATGAGCTTAACAGCCAAAGTCCCAGGGCACCAACCTTCCCCTGGTTCTGCTCCCCTCCTTCCCCGGCGGGAGCCAGAGCAACCCGCCAGCCAGAGGCTTTAGTGTGATCCCCGCAGCCCATCTGTCCACCCCACACACATTGACATCAGTGCTGCAGTGCTGGGTTTATAAGCCATGTTTTCTCACAGAGCAAGCAAGAGAGAATAAATAACAGTGACAACCAGCAATGGTGAGACCTCGCAACAGGAAACACGGAGCTGGCGCTTCCAGAGGACTTTACACATTCTCCAGCGTTATCACAGAGCAGAGACCCACAGCAGGGTCCCATATGGGATGTGGGGGGCTCACAGCTCTTAGGAGCAGCACAGCTGAGCTCTGCATCCTGCAGTGCTTTCCTCGCACACAACAGCCCCTTCCCGCTCCACCCAAATGTGTCCCGTGGATCCATTACCTTCCTGGCACCATCTCTCCACCCCAGCCCCGCGGGTCAGTGGATGGGGAGGCACTGCTGGTGTCCCCAGCTCTGGCCATAGCCCAGCTGCCAGGGGATGGCCGCGGACAGGGGGTCTTGCAGGCTGCCCGTGTATCTCTGCTGGCAGGCACCTCGCAGCCCAGGGTGGTGGGTCCCGCTGGAGCAATAGGCAGGGATGGGCATGGAGCAATCCTCCTTCAGGCTCTCGTAGTGATGGAGCTGCCTCTCAGGGGAAAACGCAGTGTAGAGAGGGGATGGAGGGCAATGCTGCAAAGCGGCTGTGGAACCAGGCTCCCATGGGAGCTGGGGACAGCCGGGCTTCACCCCTGGCTCCTGCACAGGGACCCCTGCCCGACTGCGGCGCTCAGAGCTCCAGCAGCACCCGGCACCATGCAGGGACAGGGACAGAGCCGTGATCCTGTTGATGGCTCGCCGCAGGGTAGCGATTTTAGAAAGCCTTTTGCCCCCGAGGTCGTGTTTGAGAGCCAGCCGCAGGGCGTTGAAGGCTTGGTTGTAGTCCAGGATCCTCTTGCGCTCTCTGACGTTGGCAGCCATCCTCCTGGCTTTGGAGCGCACTGGCCTGCTCCTCTTCCTCACCTTCATCCCTTCGGCATCGCCCAGGCAGGTGGCTACTTCCCTGCCTTGGGAGACCCACAGGCCCTGCCTGTAGGATGCCTGGGGTGTGCTCCCTGCTTCCAGCTCCTCTTCCGAGCTGTCAGGCTTTGGCTCTGTGCCTTTCCCCATGGCTGCTCCGGACATGGCTGTGGGGAGGGGGAGCAGGAGAGGTGCTGCTGTGGTCCTGCCTCCTGTGGGATGTGGGAGGCACTCCCAGTGACACACAGCAGCCTCTAAAAACCCCACCATGGGCTCATCACGTGGCTGTATCCCGACCCTCCTCACCTCACCTGCCTGCAGGTGTGCTCCCTGGCCCAGGGGCACAGGGCGAGTCCGGCCTGGCCTCTGCCTGCAGGGATGCTCCTGAGCACGGTGCTGGGATGGAGCATGGGGCACCAGTTCTGGGGTGCCCAGAGGCTGCAGTGGGATGCTCACAGGGGGAAGCACTCTACCAAGCACACATTGCAGTGGTTGCTTAATCCCTGCTAAGAGTCTGGGCAATGCAGGGGTTCCTTTGCCTCTCTGGCCTCTCCTCTGCTGGGTGAGCCTGGGACAGGTAATTCCTGGGGTTTATACGGTGCTGTAGGACAGAACCAGCCTGGGGTTTGGGCTGTGCTCCCCCACACTCACTGCTGCTTCAGCATCTCTTATTTCCCAGCTAGGGAAAACCGAGGCACAAAGTGATGAAGTTGCTGAGGAGAAGACAAAATAACTCCTGCTCCAGGAGCAGGGCTGGAGCACTGAGCTGCTTTTGAGACAGTGCCTTTGAGCTGTTCCATGCAGCTGCACCCCAGGGAGCATCCATGGTGGGCAGGCACAGAGGTAGGTGGGTGCCTGGGTAGGAGCAGCCTCTGTGAGGAATGTGGAGGACTTGGCACGCCTCTGCCCTCAGAGCAGGAAGCAGGAATGTGGCAGGGGGGATTGGGGCAGGTGATAAAAGAGCTAAAGTGCTACCTGCCTCCAGAGCCTTCCTGTCCTTTCCCAGCAGAGAGAAGGAGCCTGGGGGCAGAGCTGTCTGGGCTGGTGCTGCTGCGCCTGCCCCGCACTTTGGGGAAGAGGATGCTGAAAGCAGCTCCTTGTTCCCTGCATCCATCTCCAGGCCAGTGGGACACAAGGACTTGCCAGGTGCAACAGGTCTGGAGGCCATGGGGAGGGCCGGGTCCCTGTCGCCCTGACCATCATGTGTGTGTGCCCATCATTTCATTAGCAAGCAGTTGCTAAATGCTTTCCTGTGCAAGGGGTAATGCTATGAAAAATGGCCCAGGAGTGGGTCTGACAAATTGTTGGAGTGACTGGTGCCAAACCAGAGCCCTGGGAGAACGTGCCCCCCTTGATTCATCCCTTCCTATCCTATTGTCCCTGTTCACATTTGATCAATAGCCACAATTAGCGGGGGGCTATTTGTCTATTGCCCTTCTCCTCTCTTGGCTCTTTGAAGTTGGAGTTAATTTAGGTGCCTCTGCTCCAGGAACCCAATAAATCAGGAGCCAGGGCCTCGGGGATAGGGGAGGACCAGGCAGCAGGACTTCAAAGGGAAGTGAAGCTTGCACATATTTCTGAGCACTCACCTGTGCTCACTATGGCTCCCTTGTTCTCCCCAGCAGCCCTCTGGCTGCCCAGTCTTGCTCTGCCCAGGAGTGGATGCTCCTCCAGCCACTGACTTACCCACTGAGCTCAGGTCAGGAGCAAGGAGCTCTTTGGGATGCTTGAATGCGGGTAGGATGTGCATGCCAGTCCCACTTAGGGACATACCTGTCCAAAACCCAGCTAAGCAAGATGTATCCCTGCCATGGGGGTGGTTTTGATGAAGTCAGGAGATGTGGTACAGAGCAGACATGGAGGAGATTGAGCTGGGCACAAATCCAGTCTGTGCTTGGGCAGAGGCAGGCATAGAGTGCTGGCAACGGTGCTGGGATTGCCCCATCCTGCCCAAAGCCCTTATGAAACATTGCTGGGGATTCCCAGCATCTTGGCTTTTGGGATTCAGCCCCAGCTCTCGGAAGTGGGCAAGGGCAGACCATAAATCATGGGCCATGGGATGCCACCCGCTGCCTGTAATTAGTGCATCCCGCTGGGGCGTCCCCACCTCATCCTGGATGCTTCCTACCCAGGTGCCCATTAGAGGGTGGGAGGCCAGCAGGAACGCCCATCCAGGCCCTGCTCCGTCGGCCCCCACTGATTTATTGCCATGCACTGGAGAGATTTATGGGCTGAGATGGGGAGCCAGAAATGTGCTGTAAAGGCTCTGCCGGGCCCTTCTGCCTGACAGATGATGAAAGAGCTGTAATTATCCGTCGCCATACATAAATCAGGCCACTAACGGCACCCCCCCTGCCTCCTCCCCAGCCTCCACATTGGGGTTTCACCCCCGGGGATACCCCACCTCCCCAGCACGTGTCACTGGGGCACTGCTGACTGATGGGCACCTGCCCATCCTGGGCAGCATCTTCACATGCTCATGGGTCCCACAGACCAAAGGCCTGTTTTGGGTGTCTTCACCCCCCCAACACTACTGCTGAGGGAGGGGGGGCTGCAGCCCCTGCAAAGAGCCCTGGACTGGCTGCTTCCGACCCACATCCATCCAGCACCCCCAAATTGCTACGGCTTCCCAATGACAGCTTATGGGACCATTGGGAGATGAACAGCGCTCACTGGAGGTGAAACCCTGATGGGGTGGTGAGAAGGCAGCCAATATGGACTGGGGACTGCCTGGCTCCTGGCAGTGTCCCAACACCATCCATCCTCCTCGGGAAGGCTGCACCTCGGGAAGGGAGACACAGCTGTGCTGGAGGGCAACATGGAGAGGGAGCTGGTAGTGCTGAGGCATGAGAGACAGGAATTGTGTTGCAGGGAGATGCCCACCCTTTGTGCTGGCCGCTACTCCTGGGTGGTGATGGAGAAGAAGGAAGAGGCAGTTGTGACACTGCCTGCACCCTGTGGGTGAATAAATAGGGTGCTTTGTTCGTGCTGGGGCGGGCTAGGTGGCACAAAGGACACAGACTTGTGAGTCAGCCACAGCCAGACATCGTGCAGTGCATGGGAGGAGGCAGAGAAAGGCTGCACTGCCTGAAGGCTCCTGCCTCTGCCCCTGGCACCCTTCGAGGTCTGTGCCCCAGTTGCATGGCAGGAGGAAACCACCATGGGTTGGAAAGCTTCATCCTGTGGGGTGGCATTGAGCCGGACACACGTGTTGTCCTGGCAGCTGAAATGCAGCAGGCACACACAGCGTGACAGAGAGTGGGCAAAAAGCCTCACGTGGGCCTTCATCACTCGCCACAGGAGTTTGTGTCCATCCTGAGGCCAACAGGGCAGGTAGTGCATCACTGGTCATAGGATAAGGATGGCCAGCAGATGCGCACACGGTGGCTGGGGAAGGGCAGCTCAGTGGCTCAGCAGCTACCCCGTGCCTTCAAGGCTCAGTTGCTGCTGGCTCGGGGAGCGGTTTTCTCGCAGCGTGTGGGATTATTTGTGCCATTCGCTGTCGCTCTGTTGGCTGCTCTGCCGCTGCCGCACAGCGCGCAGCATCCTCCCGGCTCCTGCGGGAGGTGCGGATGGAGGAACCGACCATCCGAACAGCCGGGAATGCAGCACTGCCCCGGCTCGGGCTCCCCAGCTCCGTCCCGTATGAAGCCGGCTTGGGATGCTCCAGGGACAGAGCGGCGCAGGTAACCGGTAACCGGTGACCGCTGACCGGTGACCGCCCGCTCCCTCCACCGCCGGCGGCCGGAGCCGAGCCGGGGGCGGTGTCCGCGCTGCTCCCCGCCCCGGCAGGGCCGGGCCGAGGCGGGGCGGGCCGGGGGCGGGCCCCGACGTCAGGCCCCGCGGCGGCGGCGGGGGGCGGAAGGCGGCGGCAGCGGTGCGGGGTAGGCGGTGGGGGGGGGGGAAACTTCGGTCCGGGGCGGGGATGGCGGCGGGCGAGGCGGCCCGGGCGGACTTCGCTCGGCACTGGCAGGCGGAGTTCCCCGGGGAGCCCGCGCCCCGCATGGAGCTGGGCTCGGTGCGGGCCATGGAGCGGGAGCTGGAGCGGTGCCGCCGCCACCTGCGCCGCCTGCAGCGGGCGCTGGCCGAGGAGCGGTTCAAGGTGGGGTACCTGGAGGCGGCGCTGGCCCGGGCTCCCCCCCCACCGCCACCGCCGCCGCCGCCCCTGCCCGACGCCCCCCGCACAACGCCCGGCCCCGGCGGCGCGGCCGCGGGCAGCTCCCCGGAGGGAGGCAGCGGCGGCAGCTCGGACGCGGAGGACGCCTCCTCGGCAGGTGGGTGCCGCGGGGGCCGTGCCCGCCCTGCGTCCGGGGCATCCCCCGACGCGGACTGGGGTGTCCCCGGCCCCGGTGCCAGCCCCAGCTCATGGGCAGGGGCATCCCCAGCCCTGCTGCTGCCCACCCGGAGCTCCCGTGCCGTGCCCAAGGCGCAGACAAGGGCACAGCGTGCCGCTCCATCCCCATTTCCCCATACCATGCCACGCAGCTGCTGAGGTCATCCCAAGGCCCTGTGTTGTCCCTGTCACACAACCACTGCACCCCATGCTGCGGCATGGCAGAGGATCTGACGGTCTCTCCAGGCTGTGTCCATTACACAGCCAGGGGGATCCCTTGTCATTGCATGGTTGAGGTCACCCCAACCCCTTGTGCCATCCCCATCAAACATCTAATGCCGCCTGCAGCCCTTGTGCTGTCCCCATCCCACCACTAAGGTCACCCCCAAAGCTCCTGTGTCATCCCTGTCCCACTTCCAAGGACATCCTGTGCCAAGGCCTCATCCTTGGGCATGCGAGGACGGAGCGTGTCTGTCCTCTGTAGCAGGCTTTTGATGATGTGCTACTGGCCCAGGAGCCATCTCTGGGGCTGGGACACTGGGAGAGTCACTTTCTTAAGGTGTGACCTGGCTCATGGGGACAGCTCTGCTCAGGTGTCACCCTGTGACCTCCCATGGGGAAGTCCTGGAGCAGCTGAAGCAGCAGCATGCCGGGGTGATGAGGTGTCCCGGGGCGTTCCACTGGGCGGATTGAGGACGATGTTGTTTGGCAAGTGACTGGCTGTTTTGTGGCACTGAAGGCGCAGCCGGTGAGCGCTGTCACCCATCACACTGTCCTACTTCCAGCGGCCTGCAAGTTGTTATTGCATCAGCTTTAAACCAGGTTCAGGTGC